GGCAGTCGGGCACAGGCCTCCCCACCACCTCCCAGCACCTCCAGTATTGACGCTTTGGTATTAAGGACATTATATAAATAACTAATGTCAACGTGTAATTAGAGAAGGGCCTGATATAAAGCAGCAGATGAGGCCCCTCTCTGCCTGACGACACAGGGCACAGCGTGGGAGAAAGAGCCAGAATCAAGGGCACGGAAAAGGGAGCTAGGCAAGAACACTGGGAGTGGCATTGGGGGGGGGCACTTCCTTTTGGCATAAAGACCCCTTCTGTGGCTTCAGGCTCCACATTCGTTGCTCCCAGTGTACAGGGACTTCAACAGACTGGCAGGGCGGAAAGGAGCCATCAGAGCTATATAGAATAATACTCTAAGATAAGCAATTTCCTATCCAGGAAACTCCATTTGGGAAAATTCTACCTTCACAGAACTTTTAAAATCAGCACTGAAACGTCACGAGTATGGGGGGGTTTGGCTGAATTCACTGCCAAGACAATGCAGACAACGCAGAGAAATGTGGGTCTGATTACAAACACATCCTCCCTGCCCTGATCTAGACCCATCACATGCTGTGCGTTCGGGGAGGAAGAGAGTGATGAGTTCGCAGGAAAAGCAATGGAAAAAACCCCAAACCCATAACAGGAAGAGAAATATGTCCACAGCTTCAGGAGCAAGACTACATTGGCCCTTGCTGCTTCCCACTGCCTGGGACAGACAGCTCTGGTTGTGGCCATTTTCTCATGCCTTCTTCTGTTTTGACTTGATCATCATGCTTCAACCTTGGTCACTGATAGAGCATGGCCTTGTCTGCCCACCTCTGGCTGATCCCTGGACTCTGGTCTTCTGCTCTCACAGCACCAGCCTTTCCATCTTGTGATCTCCCCCCGATCTGATTCACTTCTCCCCTTCCATGAATTCCCGCGAGGTACAAACTGCCATATAGATAGCTCAGACCTTTGTGTCCAGGAGTAGGGAATGCTGAGCTGCTCTGGAACAGCTTTGACCTTGCACAGCTGACAGCCATGAGATGTCCCTTGTGACAGGGAGGGAGCAAACAGGGAATTTAGATCTACCCCAGAGAAAGCCTGGGAGTAACAGTTACTCTGTGCTGAGGAAGGGGTTAAGTCTGCATTGAAACTTGGAGCGCAATGAAGCTGTAACCACCGGTCTGGTTTTGCTGGTTTGGGGGCAGGTGAGTGGCTAGGAATTATCACCCCCAAACCATAAGAGGTCTGCATTGTTTTTGCCTAAACCCTTTAACTGTTTTGTTGGGTTTTTTTGCCTGAAACTCGCTCCCCAGGCTCTCTTAAAATTCAGACCCATGCTTCCCCAGCAGCCAGCAGCGGGCTCACTCAAAGGTCAGCCTTAGCTGACTTGAAACTCAGCCCGCACTTGCCTGAAACTCTGCCAAGCTCTTCCAAAAGGCTCGTATCCTGGACTGAGTTTCGGGTTGCTAATCCAAGTCTCACTGGGTTTCAGGTTTCCATGCAAGCTTTGGCTTTGCTCTACACAAGAATAGCCTCAGGCCACATCTACTCTGCTGGCTGGACCCTTTCTGCTGGGGCAGGGGGGGCCGCCGGGCGGCCACACCCCTTGCGGCTGGGGCGGGGGTGCCGCCAGGCAGCCACCTCCCGTGCCAAGAAAGAGGAGGCAGGGCAAACAGGGCACGCAGCTGCCTCAGAGGCACAGGACCCAGATGGACCCAATATCCATAACCCTGGACTCACCGTCCCTGAGGGGCAATGTTCTGCAACTCCCCAGCTTCGCCTCTCTCCCAGAACAGCCATGGGGCTGTGGGGCCACCACCCCTGTCCCAGCGCAGTGCACAGCCAGAGAACCCGGCAGGGCGAGCTCCAGCCACATGAGCCCCAGGAGCAGTTGCTAACTGTCGGAGGACGGGCAAGACCTGAACTGGCATGAAGCTTAGCAGTGCAAAGTGAACCCACTGCACTGTTTTAATCTCAAGCGTAGCAGAGTGATACCAGACCGGTGCATGGTCTGTTGTGGCTGTAGTGTTTTCGGCTCAGGACCAGCAGCTGTAAGGCCAGGTGACCGCTGTCATGTCACAGCCATCTCTCTGTGTTCCAGCTCACAGGGATCAGAGTTTCACCACTGAA